AAAATTTCCACTGGTTGAACAATAACCTGCTGACGATGATTAGAGAAAAGAGAGCCGAGATTGAAAACTACTATAACAATGATGGACTAAAAGGCGACTACAATATGCTGAAATTGTTGTTGACTGCGAATACCTCTCGTGGACCTAGCGTGAATAGAGGATCAGATGAAATAGACAGAGCCATGACTGACGATGAGATTAGAGGGCTATTGTTGGAAGTGCTTACTGCGGCTATAGAAACTGTATGTTACATATGATCCTTATGTGTAAAGATAGCAAATGAATAATACTAACCGCTGATTTCTATCAATCTATAGTCTGCCAGTCTTATGTGTTTTGTCGTATACTTGGTCGGTCAGAACCCAGAAGTAAAGAAAAAAATACAGGATGAGGTCGATCCACTGTTCAGAGATGATCCGACACGAAAATTGCAACTTGATGACCTGAATAATCTTCCCTATATCGAAGCTGTCATAAAAGAAGCCTCGCGTCTTTTGCCTCCTGGGCCCATTAACTACAGAGTTGCATCGCATGAGGACGACATTGGTGGATATAGATGGAAGGTAATTTCAAATAGCACCGTGTTTGTCAGTAACAGTTAATTTACCTCTGATTATCTTGTCGTTATTTTACTTCATTTAGGCAGGAACGCAGTTTATGATAGACGTGGTTGGTATTCAAACCCACTCTGCGCACTGGTCTTGTCCTGAAAAATTCATTCCTGAGCGGTTTCTTTCTCAATCTAAAGACATTGTTAAAAATTCTATTCAAACATTTGGAGGAGGACTGCGTATATGTCCGGGCAGACAGTACGCAATGTTCTTAATGAAAATTGTTCTAGCTTCATTATATAATAGATATGACATAGAGTTGGCTAATGAAAATGAGAAACCGGCGACTACATATAAGGTTACGCTTTACTGTCAAGGATTGAAGGTTAAGATGAGGAGACGGAACATCGTTTGAGAGTCAACACAGCACATTGCACTATTCATACATTGCCGTAATTAAATAATAAACGATAAGCTCACGCTTTTAGCTATTAGTAACTCCTGTTCAATTTCCCGTAAAGTTTTTACATGAAGCATAGAAATGCCACTTTCCGATAACCGTATGCAAAATTCTAAAGTCTTTCCGACTATCTGCGTAAACTACGCATTATCGTAAGAAAACTAAAGAATATCCGCTAAAAACTGACGCATAAATGACACCTTTGTTTTTCGCAACAGTGTATTCAGAAAGACGCAGAAAAGCTATCCGTCAATAAACTCCTTATCCTGCTGCTCGCACGAAAAGTGTAAGAACTGCTCGTTTATTAGAAAGGAAGATTAAAATATGATTGTGTAATCAAAGTAAAATTTTTGCATAATGCGGGTATATTAATATCCCAGGATCTTAATTAAAAAAGCATAATAATAACAAATTGATTTATCATTATTGTAAATTAGGTCTATTCGATTATCCCGCAATGTCTGATGTAGAAAAGCAAATTCTTAGTACAATGAAACTATTTACATAGAAAGATCCACATGTTTAAAGTGAATGATACCAAATTCTCTAAGTGAAAAACATGGAAGCATAATAATAAACCAACCAAGATACATAAAATGACTCACAATACGTAATAAAGGTAAGAAGCGGTCGCAAAAACTTTAAAATAAACTTGATGAAAAATGTATGTCAGACATATTTTACCAAGAAAGATAATCTTTCAGTACTAAAACTATATAAATTAGACTACTCAACGACCCGTCATAATGAGTTTGTGGTTAATGTACTCGATTTGTGTTCACAAAATTATCGAGTCGAATTACCTGGCGCTTTTATTTAGCTGTGCTTCAAAGCCGTTGAAGAAAATCTCAGTTGATATATGTATGATTAAGACCGGTTGAAAAAACTGCATTTTGGACCTGCACTATCATTGTAAAACATAAATATATCTAATTTCTCTCGCGTACGATAAATCTATGTTCGAAAAATCAAAGAGAGACGAATCGGCTGATATAGTTGAGATCGGACTTTGCGCGCAAGCAAGACTTGCACATAAAGTGTTAATAACTCAAATACAGGATCGAAAAAACATCTGTAAGTAATTGAGGAGCACATTGTAATCGAGGCTTCAAAAATTGCAGTCAAAGTATCAGAGTAACTATTAAAATTGAAAGATGGAGGAAAGATAAATAGAGTGTGTAAGACTATTGTTGTACTTATGACAGAATTAGAGAAAATGATAAAAAGTAACACCGAATCAGTTGCATAGAGAAAAAGTAAACCAATTAATCTTAGAAGTCTAGTATTATTGATGATAATCCGGGAAAGGGAACATTTGTTTAAAATACCGGCATGCGCATTCTTGTTTTTAGGCATCACTAAATCAACATTAACCATAATAATAAGCATTTTAAACTCGCATGCAATACGAAAAATAGCGTATAAATTATTCTGCAATCATAAGTCTCAACGATTACGACCGCTCTTTGCGTAATGCGCAGCGCATTTCATATGCGTCCCTCCCGTGCGTGTTACTGTAATAGTAATTGAACTTCGCCAGCAAAGTATTCAATGAGCCCGACAACAGTATGACAGTCTCTAATATTGTACCACTCATAAGGATATGGAAGCTATGATGGAAAGGGTCCTCGGTCATATTGCTTGGTTATTAGAGGTACGAAACCCCGAGGAAATA